GGCTCTTGGACACGCCGGGGTGCGCTGGGCGAAGGGCTTTGCAGGCCCGCGTGGGCGGCCCACGGCGAGGTCACGCGAGGTTCCCACAGTAAAGCGTTTCCTGAGTTATCGGGGCCGGAGGTCGGATTATAGCCCCCTTTTTTGGTCTTTTTTTAATCATTGGAGGAGGGAAAAGGGCAGGTAGAGTAACTTGCATCCATCATTTCCCCAAATGGAGACAGGTACCAGCAATATGCAAGGAGTTAATTAAAATCGCAGAAGTGATACTGCAAAAGCAAAATGCGTTTAATGAAGGAAAGTATTCTTGCGCTGCTCAGTTGGGACGCAGCGTTGCTAGAAAGCATTTCTAGCTACAGTTTTTCTAGGTTCTCTCTTACGAAAGAATTCCGTGTAGCTAACTTACAGCAGCGTGATCTGCCCTGCACTGAAAGAAAGGTTCATTTTCCCTTTCGGGGAGAGGGGAACAAAAAACTCAAAAACTTATTTCGCAGAAGGACTGTGCCATGGTTGTACTCAGTACCTATGTGAGGGGAAACGTAAGTAAAGGCAGTGACGTATCTGTTTGAACAGTGATTATAAACAAAATGACAAGACTTAAGGGAAAAAGCTAGTATTGAAAATGACTGAGAGAACATGTCTCTCATTTGGCTTTTGGGGAACTAGAGTATTGCTAAAGACTCTTTTTATTCCTTATACACAATTTACCTATTTCTATTTTTAACTTGAAATTCTTTGAGTGGACTGGCAAAATGTTGATAGCTGGTCTTTAGCAACACGTTTGCTATTGGAAAGAACCTAATGCAGCACAGTTGACACGTAATACGCGTGATGTCGAAGATGAGAAAGCAGAGGGAGAAACTTTAAAGACAGGGGAGGAGGAAGTATGCTACCTGGCTGTTCTGCAGTTATACTATATAGTTGCATAACTGACCATCATAATTCTCTTCCGAAAAGATCTGAGGTGATATATTCTACTTTAGGATTCTCAGCTAAATCTTTCATTAAGATACACTCTGCTTTTTATTAACTGAATGAAATTTCTTGCTTTTTCAGATGTTACAGTTTACTTGAAGGCTGGATGGATAAAAAGGAGCTGAGGAGGGAGGCACTGTCCTTTAATTCCAGAATCTTTTTTTCTCTTTGCCTTTGAAATACTACTTACACAGACTTTTCTGCAGGCTACTAATCATTTCAGAATTTGAGTCGTTTTTTTTTTCTTTCTTGAGCAATGTTACCTTCATGGCTTTCAATTGCAATCTTTTTTTAGCAAATTACCCTTCCAATGGTTGTATTGGTCAAATTCATAAATGCTTATAAACTACCACAAGGATAAGCCTTATTTGCATATTTTACAGATAGCTATAATATTTCTGATAATAGCTTTCACTCATGCAGCTCTAGATGTTATAAATGAGGCTTAGGAGGATGATCAGCTGTCTAAAATCTATAAATTCAATTTTCTTATGCCTGCTTGATTGCTAGCCAAGTATTACTTCTCCCTGGCTTTTGCTCAATCGGAAACGGAGTGTTTTATACCCATATTTCACAATCTTGTGTTCATGTGCTTTGAGTTCAGGAAATTATGTAGTCAAACATGGTGATGTTAAGTAAAAGTAATTGAGTAGGGTTTTATATATATTTTTATATATATAATATATATATTCTCCTTGATGTAAGCCTTTGCTCATTTTTTCAGATTTTCTACTTTTCCTGTGAAGTTGGTGCTCTGAGGGACTTCCACTTGCATACTATGCTGTATTTACAAGAAAAGTAAATAGTAGCTTTTGTTATTTTTTGAACAAATAGGGTTGCTAGGGAGTAATTTAACAAAGGAAATTTCAGGATCTCTTAATTCAGAGCACTATTTTTTTTTTTTGAAGGGCTTTTCCCAGAATGTTTTATTTGGTGTAGTTCTGCATTGTCTGTTACATGTCTCCAGTTAGGGCTCTCTGAAGACTTCACTGTGAATGTCACTTAGTTTGGATTGTACAAAAATTATTTTTTTAAGTCTGCTTTTTTTGGATTTTGTAAATCTCTGCTTTTGAGGGATATTTTAAATAATCACAGAAATTAGCTGAAGCACAGTTTCTTAGCATTGCAGTTACCTCTCCATGCCGTACTGAACTTTGACTGATTTTAAGGACAGGTCTTTAATTTTTTTCTTTTATGAACTTCTTGTTCTCTGATGACTTAAGCCAGTTTTGGTTCAGATCTCAGAATCATGCACTTAACCTTTGTATTTGCTTTGAGAGGGGACAATATTTGACACTTCACAATGCTGTTAAAGAGTGTGAAAGTGTGTGCTGGTTACGCAGAACGTAAATTTTCTCCTTCCTTACATTGAGGATATGGTCTTATTGATAATCGTAACTCATTTCAAGAGCAAGCCAAAATTCCTTATTTGTAATATGCCATATATGAGCTATTCAAAGACAGAGCAATTTATCTTTGGTGAATAGCACCTTCTAGGTTTCTGAAGTTCAGTTTTATCACGTACTGGCATTCTCCTCCAGTCTGACAATGTAATCTCTTTATGAAAATTGGGCTAACTGCAACCCTCTAGTATATGCTATTTTATATTTGTGATTATAAAAGTAATAATTAGGAAAAATACGTGTCCTCTAATATATGCCTATGTTCAGAAGGTGCCTGGTACTAGAGCTGCTAGGAGATTTCTTGCTGTTTGGAGTTACCTGTGTGATATTTTTCTGCACGGCTGTACGTTGCTAGAAAGTATCTCGGTTTCTCTCCCTCTTTTTCCTGAAATGCCTTAAGCTGTAGCTCTTGGTAAGAGGAGCCCAAGAAAAAAAGTACTGCACCCCTTATATTTTTATAGGCTGTTTTCTATACTCTATTTGGGATGTTCCACAGATTACTGAAGAGCTCTTGGAGTTGTGGCATCATTTTGGTTTTTAAGCATAGTGATGAGAATTTAGATGTTTGGGAAGTTTCTTTGGATTTAATCTTTTCTTTAAAAGCTGCTTAATTTAAATATGTTGAAGGGCAGAGAAAGTTGTCTTGCTTGCCCCCTCTTTGAACTGAAAAGCACAGAAGTTTCCTGTTATGTGTGTTCTGCTGTCTAAACAGACTCATTAACCATAAGTAGGCAAGAGAAAGTGATATCACTTTCCCCCTCCCTTCCTCAAAATGCAGCCTCCCCAATACCAGAAAAGAAACCACCTTTCATGCCACTTCTATGCATTTTATCTACAGGGGGCGTTCTTGAACCCATGCCACCTTCTGTTTTTAGAAGGCTTACATAAAGGGGAAAAAAAAAAATCTCAGGAGAAATTTAGCTGTGAATTTTTAAAACAGGAGAGGCGTTCTTGAGGTGGAAGAGCTAGTTGCTGTTGTAACTGCTGCTATTGTCGTGCTTTGTGTCCTGATTTTGAGCACTGTAAAGCCTTAATAGATGAATAGTCTCTATGCAGTGCATGGCTATAGACTAGTTCTGTTTCTCTCTGTTAATAACAACCTCTACATTGTTTGGATGTACCCTTTGTTTTGTTCTGTTTTGTTTTAAAATCGCATGGTGGTGGGGAGGAGGAAGGAGGTTAAAATTCAGTAGAGAGACGCACAGAGAAATGTATCTCGTAAATGCAATATTAAAGGCCTTTTTACCTGTTTATTTTTGGTGAGAGCCCTTTAGTCTTCCTAAGGAAACAGATGGATGATCAAGCTGGTAGTCTGTAGTCAGGCAGACCTCGCTGCTGCCTTGCAGTGGGTGCTCAGAGGGGCCATCAGAATGACTTACAGCCTTAGGCTCTGCTGGTAAATGTTGTAAGAGAGGCAAACTCATGGCAATAATTGCACAAGTAGAGATGAATGACCACACAGGAAGCTTCCAAATAGAAGTCTAATGAATACTTCTTATAAGCAAAAATACAAAATAGCTTAGATTGGAGGCTTGCAGTTGGCACAGTCATCATAAAAAGATTACGTTGTTTGGGTGGAAAGAATGCCAGTACTTGATATATCTGAATCTTAAAAATATACAAGGTGTTATCTATCAAGGATAAATTGCTCTGTCTTTGAATAGCTCAGTGCTTTGAATAGCTCAGCCTTCTTATCTTAAACTGAAATTTGTAACCTCGCTTGGGTGCCTTTCTCCTAAAAGGAAAAGTTGCATACAGTTTCTTGGCAAGCACGTCACACTGATCGTTTTACTGTTAAACTATTGGCAAATGTATAGTCTTTTTTGGCCAAATTCTGATCCTGGTTACTTCATATGGACAGTAGTCTTGATTCTATGTTACTTTCATACTTTTCTGAGAACCAGACCTAGATTCTAGTGTCTTTTGAAGCAACAAAAATATCTTTACCCACCCTCCCTTAAAAGAAAAAAAAAAACAAAAAAAAACCCCAAACTTGTGCATAATAAGAGAATGCAATCTGTAATATCTCTTGCTAAGTGTTATTTGCTGATGGCTGGTTTTTCCCCATAAACTGTAGGTTTAGCAATGAAATATCCTGCAAAAAAAGAGAGGATTACTTGGAATGGCCTGAATATTTTATGGCAGTAGCTTTTTTGTCAGCACAAAGAAGCAAGGATCCAAGTTCCCAGGTAAGAAGGCAGCGTATAAGAGTAACATAACATCATCTATATTGCACGTTGTATCAGATGTGCATGTAGCAATTTCAGGACTTTCTTATGAAAAGTTATTTCCGTATATAAGCTATTCAACTTTTCATACGGTCAGCACCTTTTGTTACAGAAATTCTCTTACTGGGCCTGACCTCACATGTATAATTCTGTGTATATGTTTGCGGCTCCAAGTTTTGTAAATCTTCTCTTCACGTGAGGGTTAAAATAACACATCCGTTTTCTCCTGTTTCTAGTAAATATAGTTACTGTTAGAGGAGGATGTAACTACAGAAAGCATTAGATTATAATTTTTTAAGACACTGCCTCTCAGAAGTTCCTTTTCATCACCATTAAGACAGTATAAAACTTCCATCTTGTTTGTTCCTGGGTTGCTTGAGTTTTCCAGTTTAGGTCCTCCCTCCTTTTCCTCTTCCCTTTCACTATCTATTCTTGTTCTTTGCTTTTCATGAGTGTTTTCATTGCATGTGAATATTGGTTTGAGATGATTCACATGTCTCTTCCTGAAACATGTTCTTCTCCAGGGCCCAGTCCTCCTGTTAGTCTTCATTTCGCTGGAAAAGTTCAGGAAGAAAAGCTCAACAAAGCAATGGAGTAAAATGCATGTTAACAGTCTGCTCTGAGTTGCTTGCTGACTTCTGTACGTCATGGCTCTTAAATTGCTTTGAAGCTTATTCATTTAGGACTAAATTCTTGTTACCGAAGGGCTGGTTAATCCACCCGTTGCTTGTATTGAAATGGCAATAGAATTGATTTTTAATTCACACATCTAAAATACAGACAGAAAACAGGACACTCCTTAATCCTAAAAGGAAGGTTCCAGTGCAGACTTGGTTTAGAATAATAAAGGGTGGGAGTTAAAAGGTTTGGTATTTTAGTGCATATTTGCTAAAAGGAGACAGGTCCATGTCAGCTTATTTCTATCTAGGTTAATACTACCACATTCCTGTTTCATCTTCTATCCCTTTTCTTACGCTGCTCATACTACTGCTGGGAAAACCTGGTTCAGGGAGCTGAACTGACAGAAAACTTCTGCTTAGTAGGGTTAGTATTGTGCTAGTTTTGTTCCTTGAACTAGCTCACTTCATAGTCAGCCAAGGAACAGCGCTGGCTGGAGGGGGTTGGGACCTCATGACCAGAGAGAGGTGGGGAGGGTTGCATCAGTCCTGATTATTTTTAAGTTCCACCAGTTAGATGCAACTGTGGCCCAATTCACTGGATGGTGTGACTTTATACAAAGGTGAAGCTTGCATCTCTTAAGTTTGCAGGACTGGCTTTTCATGTCTCACCTCTCTTGTTGATGTGTTGTTTTGCATGCTGTTGGCACTATATAAATCTTATTTTATTTAGGTTGGTGCTTGCATTGTAAATTCAGAAAACAAGATTGTTGGAATTGGATACAATGGGATGCCTAATGGCTGCAGCGATGATGTACTGCCCTGGACAAGAACAGCAGCACATAGACTAGACACGAAATACCCTTATGGTAAGGCTTCTTGTGGCTGACAGGTCAGACTTGTGATGTCTGTATATGCGTGAGTTCAGCTGGTAAAACATTGATCAATTTTTCTTCCGCTCAGCTGATTTTGTTGATGTGCGTGTACATGGTGCATCAGGATAAAAGTCACAGCTCTGAAAATAGATGAAATCAATCTTTGTGAAGGTCTTCCTTGTGAAGTATGTTCATAAGTAGTCATTTTGGATTAGATAATGAAAATAAGTATAGCACAATCATTAGCGCACAGTTGCAGTGTATGCAAGTTGATGCTGCTCTTGTGTGTTTGTCTCCACAGAAATTACTGAGATGGTGTAGATGCAAAACAAATAATTGGGCCTAAAATATTGTTATTAAAATTGTGAAGTCCAGTACCTGTGGGAAATTCTGAAGTTCAGGTGCTTGTTGTAGACAACGCCTATTGTAATGGAGCTAAATTGTGGTTGTCTTTAAGTATGTGATCACATTCTGTCTTGTCTGTGCCATTTTTGTCTCATCTGATGCGCAGTGTATCTGCACTGCTACAGGTGAGGTGAATTTCATTGTTTCCGCTTATGGATTTGATTCAAACTTAGTAAATGAAGATGATGAACAAAGAGCAAGAGGTTTTCGTGGTCAATACAGCTGAGCTCTGCTTTGGGTCCTATCTTTGTGTTTAGAGCAGGGAGAGTTTAGTCTTCTACAAGTGTGCTTTGAAAAGTCCTATGTGAATTTTGGTGCAGCTGTTGAACAGGGCTGTACGATTACACCTCTGGACCAGATTTCTTTTGCAGGAACCAGACGAGATGACTTGCTGGGCTGCCTCAGCCTTCACGCCATGAGAGCTGCCTGTTGAGCATGGAAATGGAGTTGACAGCTGCTGTCTGTGGCCTGCAATAGCTGATTTTTGGGAAAGAGCTGTGGTTAGGGTTGATAAGGAAGGGGGGAGTGTATGCTCTCTTAACTTCCACGTCTTCCTCTTGCACACGAGCTCCTACTGAACCTGCATGGGGTGAGACCTGCACAGCAGGAGCCATGGGAACCAGAAAAATGGGGTTAGGAGTTCCTTCCTCCTGTGCTGGCTCTCAGCCTGGCCTGGGTTCAGGAGTAGCAGGGGAAGAGTTGCAAAACTAAACAAAAAGCCTGAGAACCCTATTTTATATTGTAACTTCTACTAGTTTGTTTGATACAGAATTTAGATTTCTACTAGTTTTAAAAGTTCCTTGTGTTCCCTGAGAGCCTGTCATTACATTTCCACTTTCCCATAACACTAAAGTGAAAGATTATATGCAGTAGTTCAGCACATAATTCAGCAGTTTCATATTTGAGTTCTTACAACCCTTGTACTTTGTCCTTGTTAAGTTTAACAATTTGTAAACTTGAGACAGTATCATATTATTTCTCATAAGAGATCTGTTCCTGGTACTAGGGCCAGCTACTACCAAATTTAAAGTCACTGCTCAAAAGCATGGAAGCACTAGTTTCCTGTGTAGTGAAGGTACCATAATAGTAGAACTTGGTATGACTGGCCTTTATCTGTAGGGTGAGGAAATAAGCGCTATCCCATTGAATAAATATAAAGTCCTGAAAACAGAATACTGACTTTTTTGGTTGAATCATTATGCTTGTTGTAAGGTCTCAGTTCTGAACTAAGATGACTGTGGGTGGTCTTTGGTACCTGAGCATGCTCTAGGACAGGTACAGTAATAGACAAATCTTAAACTGACCAATTTAAACTAAAAAAGTAGTATGGATTCGTGAGGAATTTTTGCATAAGATTTTTTTTTTTTTAAAGTTAACACTGACTCCAAAAGATGTGGAGTGTTTTAGTAAGTAAAACTCTCTAATATGTGCTATTTTTAAAAATGCACTAACCAAACAGCCTGCCGAGATGAGTTCATCTCTAGGAATTGGTCTAACCACTGCCTTTCCCTCCAAGAATCTTAGTTTTCACCTCATTTAAAAAAAAAATCACAACTTTGTAACAGATAGTGTCTGCTGTGATGAATAAAGGACCTGTTTTGTAATTCCAAGATCATTTAACCTCTAGCAGTTTATTATCTTGATAGCACAGTTGACAGACCAGACAAGTATATATTAAAAAAAATTCTTCTACATGAAAAAATTGTGCTAGACTCAGAGATGCATATAATTGCTGCTAAAATCTCAGTCAACTGTCATATTTTCCTTACTGTTTTTGCTAATCATCACAGCATTTGTGTAAATTGAGCTTTTTCTTTTTAACCTTTTGCTTTTTTCCTGACTAGCTTGTTCAGGGGTGCTACGCTCTTACTTTTTTGCTCCATTAACTTATCATGGGAATGCTGACACCTTCATCACTAGAGCTGCAATGTAGCTTATTAGGTAAAGCTGATGGTATTTGTGCGTGTACCACCACACTGGCCTGGAAGATCTCTTCTAGAACTATTGCATGCATCTGCACTACTAAAGAAAAGGGTTGGGGGAGGTTCTGATTGCTGAGCTCCTGGTTTTATGTATGTTAGGCATAACCATTAGCTCACATCCCACCTGTTTTGGACCACTCCAAGTAGCTTTCTCCAGAACCAAACCGGGCTATTGCTCTGTGAATGGCCCACTCGGAGGCTGCTCTGAAAGGCAGGGTAGAAAAAAGGCTATAAGAAGACTGTGGTGCTCTTCATCCTGTATAGGCCTGAAATGCAAAGCCTGCTGGGATGGTATGCTTAACCCTCCTGCCTCCCTCAGGCCATACCAGGGGATATGTAATGCACACTCTGTTTCATGCTGTAAAAATACCACTCCGGTGGGCTGCAACACAGTCCTCGTTTCTTTATGCACTTTGAACTGAAACATATTAAGTATGTGGTGCCCTTGGGACTCTTGAGATGGGGAGCCTTGAGGAAACCCAGGACCAAGTGCTGTGTAATGCTGATAGAGCCCTGAGTAAGATGAACACAAGACAGTCTGTGCCAGTTGGCCTTGGGCCCGAGGTCAGTCCCTGGCCCCAACTATGTTTAGCAGCATAGACACAGCAGGGGACTGGACCCAAAGGCTGTCTTTGCACAAGTGTGTTAGATGCTGCTATAATAAATTTTTTGAGCTCCGGCATAAGAACAGATGGGTATGTTGACCCCACAGCTCCAATCAGTTTTACTGTTTCATAGCTAGAAACCTTCTTATTTCCACCCTAAATTTATTTGTGATTAGTTTATATTTTTGTGTATTCTTATAGCTTTTCTTATTCACAGCAGTTAACACTCCTTCCTCCTCTGCCCCTTCCCTTATGCACTTATCAGTAACAAGAACCTTTTCAGCTTTTGTTTTGTTAGAGCTAAACAGATCTTGTCACTCTTAAATTTTACTGCATCCTGAAACTTGTTGACTGAAATTCCTGAGTGTCTCAGTTATCTATCTATTGCATAACTGTGCAAATCTGAAAATCTGCAAATCCCCAAAGTGTAGATTCTACTCAGCTCAATGCTAGGGACAGGGCTGTGCTTGATTTTAAAAAATTATTTACCTGTACATAAGTGTAACTTGAGCTGCTACTACTGAAAGAAAGCCTCAAAACATGGTAGATAGTGCTCACTTTACGGGATGCATGTTTGTGAGTCATTGGGATATCACAGGGATCATGGTGTGGATCACCTGTCTAATACTATCCACTGCTTAAGAAAGTCCTGAAGCTGATTAAAGCTTATTTACTTCTGCTTGTAGTGTATGCCTTCTTATGTTAGAAGGTACTTGGCATTCTGTATGCCATTTTGCACAGCACAAAATCAGGCTTTCTTTGCGGCGTTGGAACTGGTTCTTTCCAGGCTGCCAGTTAGTGACAGGAACGGGGATGTTTCTCTGCACATGAGAGGAAATGGAAGGCTAATATTGAATAACTGCTTTACTAAGATGTTGTTAAAAGCTGTTCCTAAAGCTTTGTGTTCAGTGCAGTGTGCAGAAGCATCTTAATTAGACAAAACTCTGGCTTTCAGAGTCAAAAGTGAATGCCCTCTGTTTGTTAGATGAGTGCAAGGATTTGATGATGCACTGTTTCCTCTCGCTGATTGTTCTAAGTACTACATTTTTCTCCTATTAACATAAGTCTTCCCACTAATGCTTGTTGCTGTGCTTCTGTTATGCCCTCTGTCTCCACTGTAATCTAGGAACATCTATTTGACAACCAATTTCTAATTAAGAGAGTTTTAAATAAAAATGACTGGCAAATTTAGAAACCTCTAAGCAATAGAGAAATATTGAGTAAATATGCTTACAAATATTTACACAGGTTCAGATATAGTAAAATACGTGCTGTGGCAAAAAGCGTATTCTAATTCTAACAGTACCTGCTGTGTAAAATGAAACAAACTGTTATCACCCTTTTGTCGTGTTAGGATTATGAGCCTTTTTTGACCCTTTCCCCTCCCTCCCCGAGATGGACAATTAAAGATATTCAGGCAAATGTTACTTTATAGAGGCTGTTATTTTGACAGCACAAAACTTGGTGGGATAAGGCACTATGAAAAAATGTGATGCTCTCTCTCCAATTGGCAGCGCGAAGCTGAGGCTTTGACTCGAAAGGGGATCCATAGAAGATCTCCGCAGGTCTCCGCCTGCAGCCACTAACTCTCTTGTCCTGCGTGCATTTCTTTCCAGTTCTACTGGCATATATCAAATCTCTAGAAACTTGGAAACAGCACTGATTTCTCTGTTTGAGATCAGAACACACTTCAGGCAGGATGGGAAGAACTGGAAAACAGGATGGAGTAGCTTAGTGTTTCCCAGACTCTGAGAGGGGCTTTGCTTTTCTGCTTCCAGCAGGTTTCATGTGATGCTCATAAATAATGGACTGAGCGATTGCCAACTTCACTTCCCAGTTCTCCTCTTTCACAGAAGAAGGCAGTGAGGCTGGGCTGTCCGTTATTCCTGATTCCAGTCTGAAGACGCTAAGGCTCCAGTAGAATCTGATTGAGTTTTTCTCACCTTCCTGTCTTGACCTTAGCAATTGCTCTTCCTCAGAGTGGGAAAGAGCACCAGGAATGGCTGAGAGCGGTGTCAGCCTCATCATCAATGTCCTGCCCTTCTGCTAATGCAGTGACCAGCACCCCTCCCCGTGCTTTCACAGGTTTGGAAAAAGATTGACATCATCCTGCTACTTCCAGATCCATCAACCGCCGTCCCCAGCAGTTGTCTAGGCCCCGTTCATTTTGGTAACGTGTCATGATCCTCGCTCAGTCATGCTTCAGGGGTCCATGGGGTAGAGGATAACGTGTAGGCAGAGCTTGGACAAGGTTGCGATAAAAGAGGGGCAAGAATATGGCAAAGGTGAAGTTTTTACCAAAGGATTGAGAACCAGTGGGCCAAATTACAAAATTCCCTGTATCTACTTCTGTGCCAGGTCTATGTTGCAGAAGAGCTTGTTATTACCATATATCTGCACTGGGAACCTATAATTTTTGTCAAGTTGCTTAACATGACAGTCTGAATAAGCTAAGTCAAAACAGTACAAGTCAAAAGAGTGTAAGTCAAAACATGCTGTGTAACAATCTATTTGCATCAAAGTGCATTCTCTTTAAATGTAGCACCATATTTAGTGCATAATTTCTCAAAGTTCTTGGTTTGCTTCAGTTAGTAATTAATCACATAGAGAGCTCACCCCCCCCCAGCCCCTCTTTTGACTGCTTCTAACAAGGTGACGTTTTATGATGGTTTCTACTCCAAGCTCTTTATCACGCCTATAAGCCTTATAACGCTATTGATAAATACTTTGAATAGTCATATGGTTCTTATAACTTGTGTCAGAAAGTTTTTAGTAGATGGGAAGAGTAGTTCTGACACTACAATCCACTAAGAATATCTTCATGATGAGATTATTAATACTGAAAAATTATCCTGAATAGGGTAAGATAGGGTCTCTCATTTATGTGCTACGCATCGGGATGAGTGCTACTCATATCTGCAATGCAAAGAAATATGCAATGCAAAAGGAAGATAAAAATACAGTAGCAATTAATACTATGAGTAATGGAGCAGTCATTCCTCTGCTTTTTTTTCTCTCCCATGAACATATTAACAGGTGGTGGGAATGTCAGAACATATACCAGCTTCTCATTGCATGGTTATTTCTTCAGCTAATGAAGCCTTTAGAGAATACTTGTCAAGCCACTTTCCAGAATGGAAGCCAGTGTTGCAGATTTAATAATATTTTGGCTATATGTGAATATTTAAAAAAAAAAAAAAAAAAGAAAAAAAGTGGGAGCCCCATAAGGTGTTATAAAAATTCTTAGTTTTACTAGTCTATTTAAATACACAATTTTTGGAGTTCTGAAATGCTGTGCACCTGTGCATGACTAAAAAGTTAGCTTCTTACTGTCTGAAAGGGAACTATACGTCACTAATAATGGTCAGTGCTCTTAGCAGGTTAGAAAACTCTAACAACCAAATGAGAACTACTTAGCTATTAACACCAGGGATTCCAAACTCCTAGATTTGAGTTCTGTCTTTTTCACTATTGCTCTATACAAAGTTGGACAGGTCCTACAAGAAAAATTTGTGGGTAACAGACTATATATCTATAAATTTGTCAGTAATCAATGCCTGCCTGCCAGGGAGAGGGAAACCGAGGAAGAAAAAATGAAGAGTAATGGTACAGAGTGTAAAAATATGTCTGATGCCTACACCTTCATAAGGACCATCTAGTAAAATATCCCTTACGGAGGCCAGTAGCAGATGTCTAGGGAAACGTACAGAACAAAGACACAAATGTAATGATAACTCTCCAGAACGTTCTCCCAAATTCCAACTATTGAGTCAGAATGGTTTTGTATTTAATAGCCTTCGGCAGACTGGAAAAAATATGGAAGAAAAAAAGTGAGTTCTTGAATTAATGCAAACTTTTTGCTCCCTACTATTATCTGCAGTAGGGAATTCTTCAGTTTAGGTGTTGCATGTATGAAAAATCTACTTCCTTTTGTTTTCAAAACTACTTCCTGCTGGTCTTGTTGGAGACCCCACTATTTTTTGTCTTGGAATGAATTAGTCTCTGTTTCCTTCCCTATTACCATCTCTGGGCCTTCTTTGTCTCTTTCTTCAGCCTGGAGAGTCATAGTTGCTCCGAACTTCAGATTGTGTTAAGATGATCAGGAGGCAAAATTTCTCTTTTCCCTCACCCCAGCTGATAATCTGTTATAGATTATGTTGGGATTGAAACTGTTTTTGCTTGGGAAGAAGTTTATTGTTGAAAGTTTGTATAAGTCAAGGCAGTTTCTTGAAAGCTCTTATCAATACAGGAAAGAAACTTTTTGCAGTAGTAATAATGAAGCATGTCTGTTTTTACGGCTGAAGATTTATGAATTTTAGTGAAGGAAAAATATGGAGAGAACTTAGAGGGTTTCTGAGTTCTGTGAGCTTTGAAAACACTCCTTTATCCTTCTTTCTGGAGGCTTTCCATATTTTAGACTGCTGACTAGAACAAAAGTATATTGTTCAAAGAACGGAGAAGTGGTGGTTCTGTGCTATCAATGTAACCTAGTTCCAGCTGCTGAAATTATGGCACTCTATTTTTCACCCATTCTTCCGTAACCACAGAAAAGTAGTTCTCCCACAACTTACTGTGAAGATAGCATAAGATTAGTGCAACTCAGTAGTATGTTTGGAGTTAAATGTATTTTCTGGATTTTCTAAAATTTATAACTTTAATGCTAATTATATGTCTTATATACTTGGTGGTATATGTTTAAAATGCAGTGTGACCCAGTTACAGTTGTAATAGAAACTTTCATGTGAGTATGTTTTGGCTTGTTAATTGTCTGTTTTTTATGTATGTTTCTAATTTTACTTTTTATGAGAAGGTATGTGGACCGCGTGATCATGATGATGTTGCGAACTGCTTGTTGAAGGTGATACTGAGCTTTCTTTAGCAAGTCTTTGGTCTTTCATTACTTGTCTCCACGGGAAAGTTTGTGTGCTGCAAGTTAGGCTGTAAATTTATAGTGCATTAACTGTTACATGGAAAATTCCATGTGGACATTGAGCACATAAGGAAAGCATTTCCATTCAGTAAGAACTCCTGCACGTTGAAACTGCTGAACTCAGTTGTTCTTTGTGTGCTGAGATCATTCACATAGAGGTCACTTCATAGTAGCAAGTATGCTATAAACTCATAACTTTGTCTGTTTTAATTTTCCCGTGTAGACAAGGAGGAGGAAAACATTTTTTGCATCCATCCCTCAAAGTAAGCAGTGGAAAGCTCTTTCTGTTGTCGCCAGATGAGCCCAAACCCACACTTCACTTCAGCACCTGCTTGTAAAATAAGTCAGGGCTCTAGACAATTTATCTGCAGATAGGTTTCCAAATTATGCAGCTTACTGTTATTTCTAAAAATAAACAGGAAGCTCTAGCAGAGGTCCTGTTACCTAATTTTTTCTAGAGGCTCATGGTGCATGGAAGTCTTTTCACCTCCATTTGTAACACTATAGAGAATCTACTGATGCGTGCAACATAAAAAAAAAAACTTTGAAGTGCAATATGTCCAGAAAGAGCTATTGAGTTATGGTGGAATAAGGCAGAGTAGTCTGTTGCTACCTGTGCTATCTTAACTCCATGGAGAAATGCAGGACTTGGTTTTCTTGTTTGAGAAGTCTGACACCTTTTAATGAGCAGTAAACTCACTTTAATATTAAAGCTGGGACTTTCTTATGGTTGAGTGTGTCTTGTGTATTCTTGGGGTGAGAGAATCACGCAGCAGAGCTGAGCAGTTCTGAGGCCCTGAGGATAGAGCTGCTCAGTTTTACTTCATGATTCTGCTGCCTTTAAGAGTGCACAGTGCGCTCTTATAACCATAAGAATGTTCTGTCTGTGCATGTAAACACATAAATGAGCTGTTTTATACTGGCAATTAGATACTCCAGAGAGTTGTGAAGCTGTGAGATATTGCTTCACTTAGGGTGGTTGAAGCTGCTTGGCCCACAGCCTACGGCTTTGTTGCCTGCTATAGGTGTTAGCAAACGGCAATGCTAATGTGCTTAATGATATCATTACTAATCGGCAGCCTGGTCAGAACAATTGACCTTCATTGATCTTGGTATTTCTGCTTTTATTTCTTCCTTTGCCCTTTATGACAAGCTGTGCAAGCTATTTGCTTTTGAAAGGATGTAAGCAGTTACATTGTAATATTTTAATTTTAGTTTGACTGACTTATTTTAATGAACAGTGTTATGATTGTTTTTTTAATCAGTGTGCCACGCCGAATTGAATGCCATCATGAACAAAAACTCAGCTGATGTGAAAGGCTGCAGCATGTATGTTGCCTTATTTCCATGTAATGAATGTGCAAAGCTCATCATCCAGGCAGGTAAGGAGTAGTGCCAGCCTGATTTGTCAAGGTTGCAGAGCTGCCTGCTTGTTGGTATCTTATCACAGATGTATTTGATGTTAAATTGCTGCTGTTAGATCTAAATTAATTGTACTGTCAACTTCATACGACGCTACTTGTGGGATTTTTTTTTTTTGCATCTGAATGGTGCCAAATTTTTCCAGTGCTAATTGCATCTTCTGTGATTCTAAGTGTGCTTGTAATTTAGGTTTGTAACTTCTTAGACCAGGAGCTGCCAAAGAACAACGCAGGCTTTGCATATAATTACTGTCAATTTTACTGTGCTCTGACACATGGAATAGAGTAGGGCAGAAAGAAATAAACTTCTGCATGACAAAAGGTCTGTTGGGAGTATATACATGAAATTTTAATTTGAATGTGATGCATGGTAGATATTTGAAGATTTTAAAATATCTTTGCTCATAAATGTCATAAGACTTCTATGATCCTGCTTTAATTATGTCTTTCATTACAATTGTTATAAATCTGTGCCACTGCAGCAAGTGTGCTGGCCTAAATGTGTCGCCTTTTTCAGATTAGGCATATCCGCAGTGAGCTTTGGTTCCATAAAAATTGCTGCTTCAGATGGCATCTATTTTGCTCACTAAGTAAGGTTTTACCATCCTAGGAAGGATTGCTATTCTTGGAAGTTTCTTTTTCCACTGTTGCTCATAGGAATCTAGGAAGAAAGAAAGTAGCAAAGAGAACACTCCTTCCAGGAGCTGAAGGGGGAAAAGATTAATACTCTGTATTTGTGCTAAGCTTCTGTTCTTTACAGAGTTAAAATCAAATGGTCTTCAAGGTAGATTTGCTGCTTATTCTCAATATAGTCGCTCATCCTTTTCCTTGTGCGCTTAGGTTGGCAGTAAATAGCAATGTATTGACATTTATATTGTCTGGTAAATAGAATAAAATGTTATAACCTCCGAAACTCTGGTAACTTCTCTTGGGTCAGCCTTTATACTTTTCCCCTACCTAAATAGGACAGGAATTGTCAATTTAGGCATAGATCATTCAACAATTTGAGACAGCATGCTTTCGTGAGGATTTGAACTTAGGACTGGGAGTTAGTTATAATACAGAACCAAAGGAAAAAACATTTTTATAGCTATGCATTTGGAAAGGGAATGGGATTTGGGGTTTAAGTTCTTTGTGGAGAATTTGATTTAAATTATATTAAAAAGGTAGAAAGTAAAGTTTTCAACTATTTTTTGAAAAAATGTGTAATTTCTAGTTTGTTTGTCTTGCATTGTTGGCTGCAAGTTTTTGTTTCTGGTTTCCTGAGGAAAACTACGGTGAAAGTCGGGGGAAAGCGTATTTCAGTGTTTTTCAGAGAACTGTCTTCCAAAACAGCTCAATCAAATGTGTATAAATTTATTCTCAAGTGCAGTCTGTAATATTTGGGGAAGAAGGGGCATGCCAAGGAGTTTTAGAGCGTGTAGATGAGTGCTGTCTTTTCTGATTTTGTACACCAGATTTGATATGATGTTATTTTTTTTCCACTGTTAATTCTAGCCATTTTTTCTATATGACTTTTCTAGGCATAAAAGAAGTTATTTTTATGTCTGACAAGTATCATGACACTACTGAAATGACAGCTGCACGACGCATGTTCGATTTAGCTGGAATTATATATAGGTAAGAAAACTTTTGATTAGCTTTATTTTTATTTTGAAAAGGAGGAAAATGGTGTGTCAGAGACGAACTTCAGGGCAAAGGTTTTTCTTCTTTCCACTGCCCAATTTTTTATTCTCTTGAGTGCCTGCAAACGATAATGAATTGTCAGACTTTTGCGCTGTTCTTTGCCTTGTTTATAGTTAGCGTTCAATTGGATAATGTTTGTATGAGAACAGTCCACTTGGAATATTCATTTCATTCCTGGGCTTTGGAGCCTGCCAGTGAAACTGTGATTGTGATGGTGGTTTGTTATGTTGTGCTTGAGAGAATCATAACTGACCCTGCTTTGAGCAGGAGGTTTCATGACCTTGTGAGGTCCCTTTCAACCTGAATTATCCTATGAGCTGGACTGAAATGACCAGTTCATTTTGTGTGACTCACCTGATCCTTACTGAACGTTTAGTATGTTTGTTGCAGCCAATTTGGGCAGCTATCAGTCCAGCCACCTGTCATTTATTAATGGTGTCTATAACTGTCCGGTCCTTTTTGGTTAGTTTTTCTTAGGAGGAAAATGATAGGAAGCGGAATATTTGCCTTTAAGTAATGAGAATCTGAAAAATGTTTGAAGAATGGTTTTCTAAAAACATTGACAGAGATACCTAAAGACAATCTGTTCAGCAGCTAGTTTGATAGCAATAACATGCTGTGGGTGAAGCTAATTACGCAGTGAGGAAGGCTTTGCAACTCTAACAAAATTTATAATATTAATATAAAGGCTTCTAAAAATTTGCAAACATAACAATTCTGACAGATAAAACTTTAGGATGAAAGGTACCAACTGAGCTAAGAAATATCCATGAATAAGTACAGCAGTACTTGAAATTCAGTTTTAGTCCTTCAATATATTTCCTTTCTATTAAATCTATATGACGAAGAAGCATAAATCCTTCTGTTGCAAGTCAAATCCTGTAACTTTCCCAGGGTGAGAAGTGTTTCTTGTATTTCAGACTGCTGTTATGGACAAAATGTATGTCCTAGTCTGTCAAAGTTTCTCTAGTCAGCAGCATGTGCTTTTCTATGTTGACTGTTATTCATTCTTGTATTGATTATTAAGGATGTAGGTGGTACTTAATGAATCTCTTGAACTGAATTGCAGAGCTTAATTAGGCACTAAATCCACACTGTTTGCATAATCCTTTGTTTACTGGAAGACTGTAAAATATATGCTCAGTCCCCAAATACCTTCTTTGCTAATTGCTGTAGCAGATGCTCTAATGATAATAAAAGGAAACATTTTGTGGCAGTATTAATTTTAGAGTTCTAAAGTTATAATTTTTAAATGATTCCCTCTTAACTAGTTTGGTTTTTCCCCAGTATGATGCATAATGTGATCTATTCCCCTAGCACAGAAAAATGTTAAAAAATAGTAAAGCAAACTTTGGAAGTGTTATTTGAAAACTTGGCAGGAAAAAAAAGATCAAAAAATATGTGTGTGTGTATGTATATATATGTATGTATGTATGCACATATAAAATTTTTTAAACAAAAATTTTAGCCGTGGTAACATGATGCCACCACCTGCAGTTAAGTTGTTAAAAGTCCTTTGACTCCTGGGTAATTTATGAACTCCAATAGCTGAAGAATGTACAGGCTAAACCACCCCATGTTTCTTTTTTGTCTTAGTCTTTCTTGTCCAGTTTTCTCTCAGTGTGGTGCGCTATAATTGGCTCCCATAGAGATGAAAACTATGTGAATCCAAGGAGCTTTTTTTTCTTCAAAAATTTAGCTGGAGCCAAAGCAAGCAAAATGTTTTAACCACTCACTAATATCTGTATTTTTCTTCATTTTTAGGGAATTCAAGCCAAAGTGCAACAAGATCATCATCGACTTTGATTCAATTAACAGCAGACCAAGTCAAAAGCTTCTGTGAATTAAGTCTCATTAAATCTCTAGAACACTGTGATTATCCTTTTCTAAAAAGCTGCTAATACCTTTCATCTTGAAGTTACTTGCAACTTTTTAATGGCTTCTACAGCTAAAGTAGACTTCTAAGAAGTATAACGTCTAAAATGCTCCCCCACCTCATCTTGTCATATGGATTCTAAATCTACTTAAAATTTTGTAATGCCTTTATCAAATCTGCTGGAAAGATGCAGACCCACGGAGATGAGACAATATAATGTGCGTAAAGAAAACTGTTCTGATTCTTGCTATATTCACTACTGCATGCTCTGGTAGGCTGTTGACATTAATTAGACTCAGTTTAACAGTGGTACGTACTGTTACCAGTAGTATGTTGGAGTATGCTAAAAGATGTTGATCTCTCTGTTGGACACGTGGCAAATAGTTGATCCAAATGAAGGATAAGAAATGCTAACCATGCAAATATTAATCTTCAAACTAGCATAACACTAGTATTTTAAAAGATTACCTAATATGCGATACTGAACATTTGTTATCCAACAAATGGAATATTGATTTTTCTTTTACTTGCTATCTAACATTGTAATATATGGGGACGGGTTAGAGAGGAAGTTGTTTAGGGTGTTCCATGCCAGACCTAGTTTTAGAGGGGCTTTCAATTATTTTTTTTTTCTAAGACTCTAGAAGGGAAGGTGGGGGCGGGTGAGGGAGTAAATCATTTGGTTCTTTACTTGGAGCTCCTATTTGGAGTCGATTTTCATGTTTAGAAGGAAATTAATTTATTGGTCTAAGTTGCTTTTAGGCAATCCAGCATAGTTCAGTCTTAAAATTAACCTGTGAGGTAACTGAATCACTTTTTGTCCTCTGAGAGAAATTGGAGATATTCAATCCATATCCATGCCAAAAGATATAATTATGGTGTTAGCTTGTTTCCCAGTGCTGGCATAGTACCTTCATTTTCATAAATGTTGCCTAAAATAATATCCTTTTTAATTTTATTTTGAGGTCTGGGAATAGATTTGAGTTCCTTTTCTCTAATTTGATTTTTTTAAATTAAATATGCCTAATGGCTTTGTTTAGATAACATTGGGATTTTTTTAAGTGTGGTTATACTTCAATGAGCTTTTATTTTCTCTGTAAAAGCTTTGTGTCATGTTTTGGGACATTATGTAATTTGGCATCCTACCAGTATTATTAAAGTCTTATTAAAATCCACTATGTTGAAGTAGACTCATTATTATAATATTAAACCATGTGCTTGGCTCCAGAGTGCTGCTGTTTTTGCAATCATATGCAAAGCATATTTTGTGCATTTGTGATATTACATAAAGTGTAATGTTCATGAACCACTTGGCTACTAAAGGGAGCACTGTAATGCATTGTAAGATGTGTCCGTTATAAAGTGATTTCTGACTTTCTTTTTTTTTCTCTTCCTACAACTGTTTTCCTCCTCAAAATTGGTCTGTGGCTTATTGCCAGAAGGAGAAATTTGCACGTATTTGGAGGGGGGGAGTGAAACCTGAAAAATTACTTTAATAAAATGTCACTGAAACAGGTTATGCACATCTTTTTCTTTAGCCTGAATTAGCAAGTAGAAGTATTTTGAGTTATTCTGGCTTGACAATGGTACAGAGGGGAAGAGAAGAAGCAAAATTTTGGTTTGGCAGCGAAATTCCCATTTTTTTCATAATAATTGCCAGTCTAAGTTCAGACTTAAAAATACTTAAAATAACTAGAACCACCAAGCATGCATCTTTTATGTAAGGCTTTGCATAATGGCCCATATGGGAAGGTATAATATGCATGAAAATTCAGTTTTTTGAACTAAAGTCCAGGTGTTTTAAATTTAGGACTGCACTAATCTTTATAATGAGTTTTTGGGGGGAACTTTCCTGTATCTGTGTAATAGTAGAGCGGTACTCAAGAATGTGGTAGGATTTTAGACTTCCAATCACTGCTTTTGATCTGATAGAGCCACATATATGAGCTTTCAGAGTAATTTTCAGTTGACTCAGGCTAGCAAGTGGGGTCTCTGATTTCCAGGGCAACTTTATGGAAGAAAGGAGGAAAAAAAACAAAAAACAAAATACGTGAGCACATGCACACTTCTGAGAGTGTGTTCTTAGCCTGAGACTCATGTTTTAGAGTGCACCTTACAAGAAAGTTTGATCCTCACTGTATGAATGCCTAGAAATCTATATAGGCTTCTGGCTTCTTTATTTTATAGTTCAGGAGGTGGTACTTTGACTTCCAAATGAAGACTAATGATGTCAATTACTAAAGGAAATAATTAAAATAGGTAAATATAATAAACTATTTCTGCTCTGGAAGTTCTAGTTATAGAATAATGGAATAATTTAGCCTGGAGAGACCTCTAAATGTCATGTATTCCTACACACTGCTCAAAGCAGGGTTGACTTCTAAGTCAGATCCAGTTACTCAGCTGAGTTTTGAGTATCTCCAAGAAGAGAGATTCTGCAGCCTTCCTGGTCACCTGTTCCAAAACTTGACCATCCTTGCTGTGGGTTTTTTTTTCCTTTCTTCCATACAATCAGAATTTCCATTGCTACAGCTTATGACTGCTGCGTCTGATCCTTTTGCTGTGCATATCTGAAAAGAGTCTGGCTGCCTGCTCTATAACTACCCATTAGGTAGCTGAAGTTGGCAGTTGGTTCCCCTAACCTTTAGCTGTCTCTTCTCCAGGCTAAACAAACACTGCTCTTTCATATGCCCAGCCCCCTTACCACCTTGGTCTTCCTCTGCTGTCCATCTTGGACTGGGGGGCCTTAAGCTGACACAACACTCCAGATGCAGTCTTAGAACAGCAGAAGAGAGGATCACTAATAATCACTTCTGTTGACCTTGGGCTACGCGCTTCCTAGTGCAGCCCAGTACGTGGTTAGTCTTCTCTGTTGCAAGGGCACTTTGCTGGCTCATGTTCAGCTTCTTTTCCATCTTCTTCCAGATCCTTTCCTACAAAGCTGCTTCCTATCCAGTGGGCACCCAGCCAGTACTGTTGCATGGAGTTACTCTGTTTCTGGTGCAGGACTTTGCATTTATGGTGCTGGACTTCCTGGTGTTTCCATCAGCCCATTTCTTCAGCCTGTTGCTAACCCTCAAATGGCATCCCCGCTCTGCACTGTCCTGACCACTCTGCATGGTTTGGAGTCATCCACGAACTTGCTGTGGGTGCATCGCAGCCTGTCCCAGTCAGATCATTAATGAAAATATTAAGCAGTAGCAGCATCAGTCTCAACCATATCAGCAGTAATCAGCCACTGGTCCTAGCTGGACTTTGAACCACTGCCCACTAACACAAAACTTCACAGAACCCACCGTGGCTGCCACCACCATGTCCACTGTAAACCTCTTCCGCCTGCCAGGCCTGGGCAAGGGGGAGGTGGCTGCAGGCAGGGGTCAGTAGGCGATTCCTTCAAGAGCATACAACAGGAAGCTGCAAGGAGACTCGGGGAGCCCTTTGATAATTACTTCAGCTGCACTGGTGGGAGGAAGAAAATACATTCAAACAAATGTGGAGATCCTATCCAATTCAATATAATTCTGTCTTAGAGGTTAAATTTAAATCCTGTCACCATCTAAATTTTCACTCTAATTATTATTCTATTCCACTATCAGAACTCAAGAAACCCACAATTTTATTTATATAAATTTTGTTTAAGAAATGGTGGTTTCACAGGCTGATATATTGAATGAGAGCATAATCTTCATCTTTTAAACTCTGATCACTGACTGAGCATTTTATTGCTTTGCATATTAGGAATATTTTCACAAACATAACAAAAAGTATGCTGTGACCAGTACAATTGTTCTGATTTCCAAAATAGCAGGTTATAACACTGGTAATAAAAGCTCTTCTGGCATATCACTCAGGCTGAAAGCTTTATATACATAACTGCACAAGTAGCAGCAGTTAATCAGCTACCGAAATGAGTCTTGCTGGGATCTTAAGCTGTTGAGATGAAGCAAAATAAGCAAAAATCCTTCCTTACTGCTCTTGGTTTTTCTCTCTAGAGTGGAATGCTGGCACTTTATGCAAGCGGAGTAGGACAAGGTGCAGAGGCCTCACCTGATTGCCCTGGAGTAGCAGTTACCTTGGGCTCAGTCGCACCAGGTGCTAGGGTAAGTTTACAAGGTGCAGCTGGGGCCTGGACACAGCTGGGAGTGTGAGAGGCTCACGAAGGGTGGAGAGCAGCACCCAGAAGGGTTGGCCTCAGGTTTCACTACCCTGGGAACACTTAAGAATGAAGTGACTGCAGCTAAAAGGACGTTTATTTGTAGCTGTTTCTTCTTGCTTGTAGGTAAGTAAAGGATTTATATAAAATATGTTTGAAAGTGTGAATTTCTCTCTTCTTTCCCTTAAAAGCCCAGGTTTATTTAATGCAAAGCTCTTTGCACGACTTGAGAACAGAGAGGTAAAATGTCCTTTTACATATGTAGTCTGCATCTGCTCTGTGTTTTCAACCTCGGGAACTACTGAAAGGCACATGGTGGAAAAACATTTAACCAAATGGACTGTCTTAGAAGCCCTATGCAAAACCTTTAAATTTATGTTTCCTTCCTTTTGTACCTAACTCACCTGTTTCGTTTCTCTGGCTGGAATGAAACGAGGGGCAGAGGAGAGAAAAAGCACTTGCGAGCTGTCTCTGCCTCATTCAAAAAAACCAATGTCTTCCTGTTGTACACAGCTGTTGTTAAACAGCAGTGAAAGCTTTAATGAAGCGTGTGGTTAATCAAACTCTGGAAGAGTACAGTGTTTGATTTTTTGCTGGAGTAGGAGCTTAATCGAAGCAGCCTGTTCCCTAACGTTGCTTGTCTCGGAGTGGTGGAATTCTGCTGTCCTGAAGGCTTCAGACACGCCAGACTTTCCCGCGATATGGCTGTGCTTTGAACTGATTCCCCACAGAGGAGCTAGTCCGGAAGGAAGCGAGGGGCCTCGAGCAGCTTGGTGCTTTGCAAGGCACCACCGCGTAATTGTGGCATAACGGCACCGCGTCCAGGAGGAGGGCTGCAGCCCGTCACGTCACTCCAAGTAACGAGCAATAAGGGTACTGTCCTTCTGTGAACTGCGCTGCAGAAGGGCAACGCTTAAAAACGGCGATACGTGTGACAGAGTACGGGAATTATAGTGATTTGTTTTGCGTCTCTACCTGATTTTTGTTGTTGTTTAGGAGGAGTTAAGGAGCAGGGGTTGGAATGGGAAGCTGCTGCTTCTTTCTGGTAGGCTTTAAGGTTAGTGGTGGAAAATCTGGCCACTGTCAGCGCACTCCCTCTCATCTGAATAGGAGAGGGGAAAAAAAAATCAAGCTCTATGCATTGAATTTTTAGTTGTTGACATTATTTACTGTGCTTTTAACAAACAGCGCCCTAAGGAGAATGAGAATAATGTGCTCCAGCAGCAAAATATGCATAATAAAGAAGCAATTGCCTATGGTTTCCTGGGATTTCTTACTCCATGTTTTCTACCTCCCCATTCTTTCATTGTTTTAAGCTAATGGATATTTCAGTTCTGTCATGCAAATATTCAGAAAGGCTCCCTGCACCAAAGGAGAGGAAACTAAACATATTCAAATCACTGCTTCAGTGGCATAAGTTGCAGCTTGTTTTGCCACAGACTTGGATACCTTCTTTAGTCTGCTGTGCCCCTCTGCTGGTTCCACTTGCTGACTTGTGCTGAAGTCTTTTGTGGCATATCTTGTCAGGGTTTTTTTTTTTTTTTTCTCCCCCTTCCACTGTTCAATCAACTCTGACTGCTAATCAGAATGTTGCTGGGTAAACAGGACTGATTAAAATTAAAATTTTAATTTTGTGTTGTAAACAATATGGCACTTTAATATTCGTACTGTTATTAAAGACACTAATAATAATGCATGTAGTGTTTTATAGCGTGGTTCTCACTTATTTCTTGAAGACCTGTCAAGTTTTGCTGGAGAGCTTCACATTCAGAATTCAGAAGATCTTGAATTCTACAGTATTTACTTTTTCAAAGGTGACTGTACTTAATTATATTGGATATGCGTATCCTATTTATCCTTTCTATTTTTAAATCTCATGAGGAAGGTAATGGTTTTTGTGGCAACTGGGGAAATTACACCATAAGAAACGGCCGTATCATGGATGCCTTAGTCTGTATGACTCTACTCTTTGCTGTTAGCATTGCTTACCTATCTTCCAGAGGAGAAATAAGAGATGTTTGA